GGCATGGTGGTGCATGCCTGTAGTCCCAGATACTCGGGAGGCTGAGGCAGGAGGATCACTTGAGCCCAGGAGTGTGAGGTTGCTGTGAGCTAGGCTGACACCACGGCACTCACTCTAGTCTGGGCAACAAAGTGAGACTCTGTCTCAAAAAAAATAAAAAATAAAAGTGGAATTGGAATGTTCCTAACACAAAGAAAGGTTAAATGCCTGAGGTGATGGATACCCCAGTTACCCTGATTTGATTAATTCACATTGTATGCCTCTATCAAAATATCACATGTACCCTATAAAGATACACAACTATTATGTACCCATAATAATTAAAAATTAAAAAAAAACCTCTCTAGAAACCACACATCACACAAATGGTGCAGAGGTTTGGAACATCTAGAGTCTATTAAAATCTTCCAGTTGGTAGCTCTTGAAAAAAATCACTTTACCCAATAAGGTTTGACCACCCCCTTCCCCATGGCAAGGATCACTAAGGCTCAGAGAAGTCTCTTGTCAATATCTTGCTATTTAACAAAATTGTTAGAAACAGGTCTTTCAGACTGGCTCACAAGCCCCTCCTCGGCCTCCCTTTCCCATCTGAGAGGAGAATGAAGGAGGTGAGGAAGCCAGTTGAACTGTCCAGCCACAGTATAGGCCCTGTCCAAATGTCACTTTTTTCCTTGAGGCCAGGTGCTCTAGTAGCAGAGATGAGGGGTAAGATAACCCAGACGGGAAGCAGGCAAATTCAGCAGTCACAGCTTTGTCTGGTTAATTTTATTGACTAATATAGAAAATTGCACCTTTGAAGCAGCACTAATGCTCACTCAAGATGTAACCCACCACCAGGAAGGCTGCACCCCTGGATTACGTGCAGTTCTTTCAGAGAACTTTACGGTTCTTTCAAACAGCACTTTATTATGTGTTAAATAGTGAAAGAGGGGTTAAGGCATGCCGGAGCTTGCTGGTTACCGGCTTGAATTGGTTTCTTTGCCTAGCGACAGACCACAGGTAGATTTCCCCAAGCAGGCCAGGCCAGCAACTAAAGCCCTGGCTTGGATGTGAGTAAGCTAAGTTCTAGCTCTATCTCCATGTGGAGTCGTCAGCTTTTTGCCTTATCATGAGTTTTCCCACCAAGAGGTATGTTCTGTTAGATGCCTTCACCTCTGCGGAGCCTCAGCAGAGTCGGAAAACTTCATGCGGATCAACATGTGTGAGGGCCAGGGTAGCTTGTAGCTTCTTTTTCTCTCGGCCTCTCTTTCTCTCTCAGTAACTTCCATTTTTAAAAAATTATGAAACACTTTAAACATACAAAAAATTATAGATAGTAATATAACAATTTTAGCAGATACTGACATTTTGCTCTCTCTCCTTTTATTGTTTTTGGACAAAAA